AAAATTTAAATTATTATTTTTATAATAAAATTTTTAATAAATATTTATATAAAATATAACTTATATATTTAGTATATTAATAATTCTTTTAATATAATAATAATTTTAAATATAATTTAGATAATATTTTAGATAATCTTAAAATATAATTTTTAAATTATATTTTATTATAATTATTATATAATTCAGATTATAATTTATAAAGAATATTTAATTAGTTCTTAAATAAATATAAAAAAGTTAAAAAAATAATAATATAAAAGCAATATATATTACAAGAAATATTTATTACATTAATGAAAAAGAAATAAATGAATTTTCATATTATTTAATAATATTTAATATATATAAAATTATATTCAAAAATATATTATTATAAAAAGAAAATTATATTATTTATATTATATAATTGTATAATATTTTTAATATACTAGAATTTATAAAAAGTTTTAATATACTAGAAATAATAATAGTAATGAAAAAACAAGAATTTTTTAAATTATTATTAAATATTTTTTATTATTAAGCTCAGATATTATAATATAAAATTCTTAATTATCTTTAAATAATTTTCTATATTTATTATTCATCTCAATTTTTCATAAGATAATTAATAAATTTGAAATTTAACATTATATTAATAATGCTAAAATTCAAAATTAAGATACATTATTTTTATTATACCAATTATGTTAAATATTTCAAATAAGAAAAATTAATGGAATTCTCTTGAATTTTAAAGTTATGAGATTTTAAATCATTAATTTTTAATAAAGTAATTATTACTAAATTTTATGAGATAAATTATAAATAGAATTAAAAATAGATTAAATTAATTATATTAATTTTTTCTTTATCTAATTTGAAAATAATTAATAATTACATCACATACTATGGCTATACCATATTACTGCATTACTTTACTGTATAAAAATCTTAATTTATCATGAATAATTTATAAAAATCTGTCATGGCTTTTTGATTTGTAATGTTCAAAAATTTTTAATGAGTTTCATATTATTTTATGGAAGTATTAAAGTAAATTTTAACAAATAAATTTAATTTTTTCGAATTTTACATATAAAAAAAATTGAACCATCCCTGCACTTGCTCGTGCATTTATTCCTCATCAAGCCATTCAGAAAATTAATTTTTCTCCCAATTTTAGATTCGCAAATTAAATTATAATGTTTAACAAGTTTCATATTAAAAGTTTAATTTTCGATGGCTATTAACATACATACATTATTTTGATTTGATGCATTATCGTTTATAGATAAACTGCAAGAGAAATTTAATCAATCAAAATGTAAAGAAAGATTAATTAATCACAAAAGAAATTGTAACGATAAAAACGATAAATGGTAACTAAGATTCTGCAGTGGTTTATTGTGATGTGTTCGGTGTCAACTTGATCTGGGCGCGGGGAAGTTATTAAAAACAAGCAATCAAGCAATACTTTAACAAACAAATACTTTTTACATGCATATTTTCATGCACATGCACATGTAAGTTTTAAGAATAGTGAACGATAGAACTTCAAGAATCCTCTATGCATAAATCGAAACAACAAAACTATTAAATGATTTTTTTAAATGTAACTGTAATGATATACATAAGTATATAATTCACCATTCTTGTAATTCGGGAATTCATTTATTGCTAACTTTTATTGATATTATAATTGTTGAGTAAAGTTCATTCAATGAATGAAACTAGACTGATTAAGCAGGAATCAAATGGAATTGATTACTAAATGGGCTAAAAAAACCACTCACGATGGAGATAATACTAACGATGATGAAACATGGAGAAGACGATTACGCGTTATTAAGTTAGCTTACCACTAATAATTGTTGTTAAAATAATTTCTATACTCGTCATGAGTACATGTTTATCTCGTTAGCGTGAATTTTTTTACTCGTCGTCATTGTTTCAAGTATTTCTCGTTAATGTATGAATGATAAATGAATGCCGAACTTACCTTTTATCTTTCAAAAAAATCTAACTCCTCACATATTTGATAGAGCAACAAAGTGTAATTATTAAAGTTGGACGTTCTGTTCCCTTTGGTCCGCACACATCTAAAACGATTCTATTGCTATTATAGCTAAACAACGATAAAGATTTTAACCACAAGAGGAATAGTGAATTTTCATTCGTCAATTAATTGTTTTTTAAAGAAAATAAATAAACCCTGAATATGAAATTACTATTATCGGCATATACTATGCTAAACTGGGAATCAATGAATTGTAAAAAGATCAATGATGATGGTGAGTTTTGACGCTAAGATTAAAAAGATTGATGATTATAAAAGATGAATGGATACATGTATAGGGAAAAAAAATAAGCGGAAAATTGAATGATATCAATAAATTAATAACGAAAATTATCGTGATACAATTATCCTTATGCTGATTTTTATACTGTTATGATAATGTCGTGTTGAAAGTTTTCGGCATACACACAATTGACAATCCAAATGGTAGGAACAATGTATATATGTCGTCCAACATTTAACACATAATTGGGCTAAGACAAACCCTGTCTCTAGCGATATTTTAATGTTGAAGCTTAAATGGGATAGTTTTTGCCACTATCATTTATGATACATGAATGTCTTTAGAATATTTTAAATTTACTGTTTAAATTTTAGCTTGAAACATCTGTAATTAATATAATTATACACGCGCGTATACCGAAATGTTAATTCAATTTTTGTCTCAGGTTTACATAAGAAACTTTTTTATTTTAGCATGTATCATACTTTTACCAGTTACTTTTCTACCATACTTAAATATTCGCATATTAACCCATTTTGTTGTTTTGAATAGTTTAGTATTAGGTACGTATTATTATTAGTTATAGGAATACCGCGAAACTTTTGGCTCAATAAAAATTTTAACATGTTATATATATCAAAAAAGTCTAACTCGTCATCATTAATCGAGGATTGCTGTGCTGTTTAAAAACTTTCTTTTTCGCACCAAAAATCACAAAATCCGGTTCGTATTGTCAATTCGGTTTCGACTATGTGCTCGCACAAAGTGGCTGTGTAGTAAACTATGACGATTTGATGCCTGCAAATGAGTAATTCAATAAAGACGATTCTGGTTTCTTTAAATGGTAACTGTACGAGATGGGCGCGGGCAAAAATGCACCACCATTAAAAAAACAAACAATCACTCGATGCATGCACATTTGCATATGTAGATACACTATGTATACACATGACTAATACGTACGACTACGTGCATTACAATAAAGAAATTTTACTCAAAAGAATCCTCTATGAAGAGCAAACAACGAAAATTTTAAAGGTTTGTGTGCAAAAGTTTATTGGTGGGGATCCCTGCATTTTAGGTTGGATAATTAGGTATATCATATCTCCAAGAAAATAGCAGCTTTTACTTAATAAGATTAGGACCAGTAAACGGGGGTTACTCATGAAGATTAATCAAACTCGAACATAGGTCGATGACGATGATGATGGTGAAGATGATGACGATGATGGTGATGAAGATGAGCATGGCGTGCATAGCCCCAAAGAAATTGGTTTGTTAACTAACAGCAATTTCTTTTTTTTCGTCGTTGCTAAAGAAACTAAAACGAAAATTCTTGGGGAAGACAATTATGGCAAATTAAAGCAGGTCATGTTTCCAAAACAAAGTATAATTGTATTACCAAATAAATTCAAACATTTGTTAAGAACGAATCGAAAGAAAACCCTGTCAATAAAGTCCGACTTTAAAAGATGGCATCGGATTTCTATTTTCATTAAAGTTCGAAACAATTATATATGTACCAATACTTTATTTCTTTATCTGATTCTGAAAAAAAAATACGTAATAATATCAAGATTTTATCCAAATTAAATCACAAGGTCACAAGGGGATCAATTCATCTATTAAAAGAAAAAAAACCTAATTTTGGTGTTGCCAACCATCTGCTAACCTAATGCTAGTCCCACCCGATGATTAAAGATCACAATGAACGAAAAATCCATCAATGGAATGTCTGTAGATACTCGATTTTGTATAACTAACTATTCACACCGTTAGAATTAAAATTAGATTAGGTTTACACCGAAAACAAGCATCTTCAGACCATTATTTGCTTTCCGATTATTCATCACTATATCGGCCGAAATTAGCGTTAAAAAGCCCCAACGAAGGCAAAAGGCGACAAATACGTACGATATCTTCTATTTAATAATATTATACACCAAATTAAAAATGACCTTGTCCACTTTGTGCCGTTATGATTGTTGTTTTCTCGTGTTACGTTATGTATGTATATATCGATATGTAGATATACAATACGTAATCAATTCTAATTCCCGAGACTAAAAGGTATTGTATTTTAGTTGAGCCGAACTTATAATAATAACGGGTATATATAAGCACAGCACACAATTTGCACAACCACAATAATTAGCCTCTCCTGCATATGTGTGTGTATGTGTGTTTTTTTGATTATCGGACAAAATTGACAAGCGAACACACTTTAATATTAATTTTTTTTCTTTTTAACTACATTTCTTCTCTCCTGTTATTTATTAGCATTTAACCTCGAGAGGTTAAATATCCCTGCTTGACTTTTTGCTTTTAAGCACCTCCAAGACCAAGCTGTTTTTACTTCTCACAACGACACTGTCCGTCTGCTTATTGTTACTCGGAAAAATTCCATCTTATTTTTGTTTACTATCAAGTTTCAGCCCGAGTTGAGGAAACCGTGCGTTATCAATATATGTTATGTTAGATTACCAAATACGTACAATAACCATTAAAAAGCCACATATCAATTATCTCGATATTTGAATCGAACCCGCTTTTTTTTATCTTTTTATTTGCTTTTTCTTGCTTCTTTTTTTCTGGTATTTAGAGAAGAAATAAAAAAAGCCAATAAATTATTATATCCATTATAAACCATAGAACGTGTAATTAATAAAATTAATAGAGTAAAAATTCGCAAATATCAAAACAATCGAATTCAAAATGGTTAACATTCTAAAAAACTTAAGAAAACGACTCGACAACAACAAAACATTCAGACCATACCGTCCCGACCGAGATTCAGAAATCGATCGCGCCCAGATACATCATCATTTGATAAATGCCGTGTGGGGAAATAATTATTCGGCGCCAGTGCAAGAAAAGTTAAAGAAAGGGGCTCGTGTGTTGGATGTGGGGTTAGTTTGTTCTTGATGTTCGTTATTCTTTGTGCATTGAAAGCTTTTTCGTTTTATTGACGTTGTACTTTCGTCGACACACTATTTAGATGTGGTCCAGGCACCTGGATATGCGACATGGCATCCGACTACAAAAACTCCACATTTTTCGGAATTGACATCCTCCCAATATTCCCTACTGAACGTCCATTCAACGCGTTTTTCAAAATCGGCAACGTGCTAAATGGCCTAAAATTCTCGAACGAGTCGTTTGATTTCGTGCATATGAGTTTGATGGGTCTCTGGTTGACCCAGGAACAATACGAGAAAGTGGTGTTGCCAGAATTGATTAGGCTTGTGAAGCCTGGTGGATGGATTGAGGTGAGCTGTTTGTTTTCGCCTATTTTCACGCATCATGATTAAAATGATTAATATTGGTTTAATGGTGCGTCTAGATTATGGAACCGGAATTAGAAATTTACAATGCTGGTCCACGTATAACAAAAGCACAAAAAAAACGTATGTATGAATGTTTTAAATTCTCAAATCTAGCTAAACTAATATTCTACACTCACTCAAATAACAGTTCAAAGAGAATTAAAAAAACAAGGACGTGATCCCTTGCTCCCAATAGAAGTCGATCGCTTCCTCCATTCCTCATACCAGCTAACAAACGTCACACAAAAACGAAAAGAATGTGCAGTCGGCATTGGACCTTCGGATCTATATATCAGCTATGCTGCGAAAATGGATGATACGGACTGTTTGTCGTCTTATTCGTCATCGACTACGACGATAAATGCGAATAATTCGAATAGTGAGACGAGTGCGAATAGTAATCACAATCATACGAACGGTGGGAGAAGTGATACAAGCACTATCAGCGAAAACGCCGAAAGACAAATCGGACTACTTGGTGCTCAAATAACTATCTCGTCGTTGGTCAGTTCGCTAGTCTCTCTGTATGAAGTGCGACAACGGAATTTCGAACGTAAGGTGCAAAAACTTGTGAAAGAGACTAATGAACGGCGGTGTTGGATTAATTATCATAGAATGTTTGCGCAGAAGCAAAAATTTGTGTTATGATTAAGTTTTGTATAGGAGATGAAAAAAATAGATTAGAATAGTTAAAATTTGAAATTTTAATATTAATGTAATTTTGTAAATAGTTTTTCATTTTCATTATATTTTTTCTTAAACTGTAAATTTTTTTATTTATTTTATCTAATGTAAAAAAATCTTTCGTTTTTCATTTGAAATGAAAAATAAAATTAAAAATTGTTTATATTTACAATCTATCTGCTATCGCTATTATCAAAAATCGAGTTGTTAATTTAATCGCGTCGATTTTTCTTTGAATGACGATCTTTTCCGTGTTTAGGCCAGAGTTGGCATTTGGGCTGCGGCCAAGAATTTTTTTGCCATAGTTTTTGGCCATCCAAAATTTTATTTGCATTTGCCCGCGAAATCTTAATAAAATGAAATCACCATTTTTTGCATAATCCGTCACTATCAGTTTGGTTTTTAGTTGTATGATACATTAGTCTTAATCTAAAAGTTAATTAAAGATGTTTGCTTTGAATGATTTCAACTAATAATACTGACATTTAGTATGAAATAGGTTCCAATAAATTCTTCTCTTTTTAAACAAAAACAAAAATTCCTTGAAATCACTTTCATGCTTACCTTCTGACCAAATAAACTCACACAAAAATCACTCGCGAACAATTTGTGTAAATTAAAAAAATGCGCTTGGCGATTTTATTTATTATTTGTATATATAATTAAATCTTGTTATAATTATTAGATTTGGAAAAGTAAAATTAGATTATTATAAAGAGATTTTTTTTGCCTGAAGCCTTTACTATTAATTTCGGTTGGCCTCATATGTACATTTAATGTCTCAACAGTATTATCTAATTTTTTTGACAACGTTAAACATGGTTTGTCGTCGCAGACGAATGATGTGACAATAGTTTTGTCAGGTACCGTATATCTCCGAATATAAGCAACCAAAAAATGCAAGATTTTGGCAGGGGGGGGGGGGGGTTGCTTATATTCGAGTATAAATTTATTATGCTTTACATATAATATTTTCAGAACCTCATATAAGTTTTCTCACAACTTCGCATTCTTTAAACTTATCTTTTCCATTAGCTTACTTGTAACGCTGGTTTATTGATCCGTCTTTACAAAATTACCCTTTGCTAAACCTTTTAAGTCATTTGTGATTTTTACACTCATGTTGTAAACTGAATATCTCGACATTCATCGCAATTTATGAGCATTCGAAATTTAGAAGCCATTTTTGGTTTTTATTGTTTTATAAAAACTATGATTTTGATAAATTTATAATTGATTTTTTTTTGCAGCTAGACTACCAAGCAACGTGACGCGCAACCAGGCAATGTGAAACACGTAACCTGACAACGAAACAACATGAAAACGAAACTGGTAACTCAACAAGCAATGAGATGTAATTAAACAAAACTTAGCTACCAAATGGATGAAATTCATAAAAGCAGCGCATATTCAGGATATTAAGTAATAAAGTAACAAGAGGTACCAAACAAGATCAATTATGTCTTATAGAAACTTTGAAATTGAAGAAAGTTATTTAATGATATATATATCGTTAATTAATTGTTAAAATAAATAAATTAATTCTGTGCTAATTGAATTATTGATTAATTATAAATTTGATCATGGTCAAACTGTCAACCCGGTTTAGGCTATGTAAAAAATCTTTTAATATAGAAAAAATTTGTAAGAGCTCTCCATCCTTTTTTTAATTAAAGGCAAGCTACAAAACTTTTTTTAATAAAAGGCATGCTGCAAAGTGTTATTTAGAAAAGCTGACTCATTAAAATATAAAATCTCCATGGAAGAAAATCGGCTAGCATCATTTTAGATTTAATCTGAAAAATATTTCATCACTGCAAAAATTAAAATATAATTCAATTCTTTTTCGTAGCGATTATGAATTAGAAATATTTTTTATAATTAAATCTAAAAACCTAAACAAATTGTATATTTAAAATGTTTAATTTTTACTATCCATTAGTAAATTCAGAGATTGTTCGGATAATTTTTTCAGAATGGTTTAATAATATTTATAAAGTTTTTTACATTAATGTTTAAAAAATATATAGAAACAGAAATTTTTTAAAAAATATATAAAATATTGTTTTTATATACAGTGGCTCCCATAATTATGAAATCAGGGGGTTCAATTTTATTAGTAAAAATTGAACTTTTCTCTCTAGGTTAAAGTCTATGATTTTATTAAGAAATAAATTTTATTTTTATATCAAAATAAAAGTTCATGATTTATAAGTTAATTTATATTTTTTCTTATTTTTTAGATTTTTTCTGAGAAAGTTGTTCTAATTACAAAGTAGCAAAATTTTTTCTAATTAAAAATAAAATTTAATTAGAAAAAAATTTGCAATAATTTTGTAATTAGAATAACTCTTTCAGAAATTTCTATATATATATAATTAGTATAAAAAACTTAATCTTTAAATTATTATAATTTAATAAAAATTATTTAAAAATTATAAAACTTTCTATAAAATATATTAATATCTATTAAAAAGTTTACTTAAGATTATTTACTAAATAATATTAATATCATTTTTTTTAATTAATTTTTTAAGCTAAAAAAATTAATTTTAAAAAATAATTAGAAAAATTCTATTATAAAAAATTTATTAATTAAAATTTTATGAAAATATCATACAAAAAAATTTTAATTAAAATTTTTTTTTATTATAATATAAGTTTATTAAATTTTTATTTTAATAAATAAATTTACTTAAGAATAACATATAAAATAACTTATTAAAATTATTTTTAAAAACTTTTAAAAAATAAATTTTTGAATTCAATTCAAATCTATAATAAATATTACTAAAATTTTTTTATTAAATTATATTTTTTATTTTTAAATAAATAATTAAGTTTTTTTTTAATATTTCTTCAAAAGATTATTTTATATAAATTAATAATTTTATATATAATATTTAGTCAAAATAAAATATAATAAATTATAAGTAAGAAAAGATTAATATAATTAAAATTATAATATTATACTATAAAGTATTAATTAATATATTCAAATATTTTTAATTTTTATTTTAGTATTTAAAATAAAGAGAATATAATTTATATATTTATACTTTAATTATATATATTTTTATTATATATATATTAGATTAATTTTTTATTTTGATTAATAATTAATATTTAAAAATTTTAATTTTTTGACTTTAAATTTATAAAAAATATTTCTATATAAAAATAAATAAGTTTATATTACAAAAAATTTATTATAATTAATATACTTATAAAAAATTTATAATTATTATATTACTTAAAATATATTAATAATTTATAAAAAATAGTTAAATGATTTAATATTGAATTTAAGTAAGTTTATAAATAAAAAAATAAAAAAAGAATTATATAAGATTATTTATTTATAATTATAAACAAAATAAAAATATATAGTAAATAATTTTAATTTATAAATATTTATAATTTTATTATTTGAATAGTATTTAAATCTAAAAATAAAATATAAAACAGAAGAAACTTATTTATATAATATAAAATAAATATAAAATATAAATAAATTATTAATTCTAAATTATATATAATTAATTAACTTAATTTATATTTTTGAAGAATAATAAATTATAATTTAATAAATTAATAATAATTATAAATAATATAAATAATAATAAATGAAAATGAATAAAAATATAAAAAAATATTAAAAAAAATCTAATTAAAAATATTAATTAACTAAATTAATAATTAAAAAATATATAGTAATCATTTATATAATAATATATATTAATTAAATATATAATAACTATTTATATATTAGATATGATATTATAATTAATTATAACTCAGTTATAATTCTCTAAATAACTATTATAATTGATTATAACTAAATCATAATTCTTTATTTGACTATTACAAGTTATAATTAATTAAGTTATTATTTTTATTATATATTCAAAATAAAATTAATCTTAATAAAAAGTAATACAAAAAATAAAATATAATACAAATAATATAAACTAAAGATTTAAGCTAAAATAAATTAAAATTATTACATATTTTCCTATTTAAAATATACTATTTTTATTATATTTAAGTATATAAATTTTGAAAGATATTAATCTTTTTCATAGTATTTTTCAAACTTTCAAGAAATTTTCAAATAATATTATAGAAAAAATATTCTAGTTATTTAATAAAATATTAAAATTTATAATAATATTAAGAATAAAGTTAATTTTATATTCTTTTTTATTATCTAATTTAATAATAATTAATAATATATATGTATAAAATTTATTATTTAGATTATATTTCTTTAAAATAAAATATAAAATACTAGATTTAATTTTATATTAACTAATTTATAAGTAACAGAAAAGATTTTACTAATAATCTTAAAGAATCCAATGAGTTTTAATATAAATTTCTTAGATATTTTTTATTTATCTATAGAATTATTTATATTATATATAAAAAGAAAAACTTGATCTCTAATAGAGAATTCTTCATATTCTCTATATTAATTTATATATTTATTTTGTCTATTTTATACTTCTATTAGCAAATTTTTAGTAATTTTTATCATAATATTCCAATATTTCATGATTCTTGAGAGATAACAATATTATTTTGTAATAAAAAAATAATAATTAGAATATGAGATATTTATTTATAATCTAATTCAAATAATATATACTAGTAAAAGTATTTTTGCTATTATTATAAGTAAATTCAACTATTATTAAATTTTTATTCTATTAGTCTTGTTTATATATTATATAAATTCTGAGTATTTTCTTTAAAGTTCTATTTAATCTTTCAGTCTGACCATCTAATTATGAATGAAAGACTATTAATATTACTAATTTAATTTTAAGTTATTCAAAAAGTGACTTTCAGAATTTACTAATAAACTTGATATCTTTATTTGAAATAATTACTAATAATAGGCCATGCAATTTGAATATATTCTTAAAGAATATCATTCAATATTAGATATTATTACTATTGTATATATTGATACAAAGTGTTCTCTTTTTGAAAGTTTATTAATAAAAATTACTATTATGTCATATCCAGATTTGATAATAGATAGTTGAACTATGAAGTTCATGATGTTTTGAAATAGCAAGTGATTGAAGGGTTATTAATTACTACTTTTGTTATGCTGGCAAGATTCACAACTAGTAATATATTGTGAATACTTTTATTCATTTTTAGCTAATAAATTGTTAAGAGACAGTAGCATATATCTTATCAATTCCAACATGTTTAGCAATAGATACATCATGAAACTCAAATAAAATCTTTGCTTTTAGTGTCTCGATAGTTAGTGGTGTGTCAATATTTATGATTGGCGATGAAGTAACGGATGAGATATCCGAGGCTGATGACGAAGATTTTTTGGGAATGTACATTTTTGTCGCATATGGGGCGAATAGGAATGTTATTTTGTAGCACATGTATTATTGCTTTGCAAAATTAGAATATTTGTTAACATGTTAAATAATCGATTTTGTCAGAGAACATAATAAAAATAATCATACACACCAAGGGCTAAAAACACTTCTCGCAACAAGCCCATTGGTTATCCACTTTAAAAATTAGTGGTGTCATACTCGTAATGAAAAATAATGAGGCAATTGAAAAATTTTGAGACATCTTGCTGGATCCCGAAGCAGTCCTTTATATATTAATAAATTTTCTTTTTCGCTGAATGGTAAGGCTGCAGAGGCGGTTTGTGGGTTTATTGTACTCGTAGTCGTGATAAGAGCAGTGATGGTGGTGGTTGTATAACCGAGACATTGTATAAATTGAGTTTAGCGCTTATAATACGTTGAATATTTGAAAATATTTACAAGTTGTAAAGTTTTAGAGTGAAGAGAATTGGGAGTCGATTTTAAAATAAATTTCGGTAAAGAAACGACAACGCGACTCGGAAGTAATGTTCTATAAAATGCATATTTCAGTTTTTTTGTACGAGTCATCAATATCCCATATATAGGTTGACTCAATCGAACTATCGCAATCGTATTTCACCTTACGATTCAAAATTGTCTCGTATGACTGAGACATTATGTCGCTGGCTAATCGTAATAAATTTTTCGATAATCTAATAATTATATAAAATGGATAATTTTAGGGTTCCGGGAAATCCGACACTGATTTCTTCACACGAGCAGATCATCATCTCCTCTTATAAATACCCCCAAACTAAATTTAATTTTCGACCCAAAACGTCTCAAATAAAGAAAACATAAAAGCGATTAAATTTCACACATAAAAACAATATCACAGCGGCGACAATAATAAATATTGAAGAAAGAATAAAAGGTTCCGAAAATGTCTTTGCTTAAAGAATCTGTTTCCTACGACATGGATATCATACTAGGAACCAGCAGTCAAGGACTCAATTCAACCTGATTCATTGCCGTCTGATGCATCTTTTCATGAAGCAATGTTTGATAGTGTTAGCCAAAAGTTATGAACCATTTGTAAATGATAATGAAAGATCGAGTACTCCGGCAAAAGGTAATAACTTTGGCAGCGGTGAGATAGGACCCATTAGACACGTTCGTCAGCATATCGATGCAACCCCTTATCAAATAAAAACAACAACACGAACATGAAGGAGGTTGAGATAGAAATAGAGAAAAAGAAAGAAAAGGGTAAGGGAAAAGAGATTGATCCGTCACCAACAAAAGATTCTGAAGTAATGATTGATGGATCAAGTAAGACAATAGCAAATCCAAGGAGGAAAAGATTACTATCTAAAGAAAATAAAGAAGAAAATCCAGAACCAAAAATGAAATTTAGAAAGTTGGATTATCCTCCTGGCTTTGTATATGAAAGGCAAGAATCTTCTTACAGAGAAATATATAGAATTCTCGCCCCTCCTAAAAATGATCCATTTGCTAAGAAACGGTATGCCATAAGAAGGAGATTACCATCACAAAAATCTCCTCAACCTTCGCTTTCTACTGCATAAGTTCCTGATATGGTTCCAAATGCTACGCCTATACTACCCAGTAAGAAAGATGAAGTCGCTCAAGTTCAACAAGAATTGAAACTTCTAAAGATGAAGACAATTCAATTATTGCCGAGGCTGAGAGACCTAGAAATTAAATCATTTGGCATCAGATAACGGGAGAAAAATGAAATGAGCTCAAGGAATATTATTTGAATGATAAATACGGATACAAAATTAGCCGCCATAGAACAACAACAACCGTTTCGGCATTTTCTGCGCCAATAAAAATACCGACTACTAAAAGAAAGAGACCATCGAATGTTTTTAGCGCAAACTTTTCTTCAGATGAAGAAGAGGAATCGGAATGGACAATCAAGAGGATAACTACGAATATTAGGAAGGATAACATCATTGCATCAACCTCTAAAGTGGGAGAGCCCAACCCTGCTTCTACTATAATTTCTCCTTCGTTAAAACCTCCTATCATGGAATACTATCTAGATGATATCGAAGCTTGGTTTGAAATGTTGTGAGAGCCAAACTTCGATATATCAACGAGGACACAATGAGGGCACAACAATATTCTTAATTCCTTATCCTTTCCTTTTATGCATCCGTGCAATCTTTCGCCTCGTGATTGTTACCATTGCTAACGGGTGAAGGATTTTAGTAATTCGAAAGATATGAGGGGAAAAAGTAGCGATTAGGGTTTATATAAAATTGTAAAAAAATAAATAATCAATTTATCAAATACATATTGATGATCAGGATGTCTACATAAAATCATCTAAAAATAGAGCGTTTACATCATTTGCAAGATAATCATGATACTATTAATAATGAGTTTTCCCAACATGACGTATATAACATTAATACTATTTTGCAAGTTATCCATGATCACCATTAATAATGATTTTTCCCAACATGACGTAAATATTATGTGGGAATAATATAAATTCCAGGACACGATCCAATTCCCGCAGATTGATACTATGTATGAATGCCAAGAAAAATTACACATGTTTATTGACTATTAATTTTAATATTTAATAATATAATTATCTATATTGTTAACATTTGCGACATGAAAAAGACTATCAAATAAGATACAATCATTAAGATTTCACTTCAGTATGCTATGATTTGTAATTTTTGCGTGTTCGGAACTTCATGACTCTGAGATCTATTACATTCGGGTTTATGAATTGTCGGGCATCGGAATATTTGTTAAAAGGTTTGGTTATAAAACTTCTGACTTTTGCAGGTGAAATGAAATCCTCAATTCTAATATTTTTGATGAGTATTTCAAAAGTACTATCGTTTATTCCGGGAAACTAGTATTATTATACTTAAAAACGGTCCTGATTATATACTGTATATTGTATTGAGATGGTAATATCTAATGATTTTTTTGATTTGTGATCTTAATTCTACTCTGAGCTTTGGTAATGGCATTGTATATTTTGCAATGTGATGGTAGCCGATAAAGGACTTGGTGATGCCAATTTCTCAATGAATTTTTTCGACATAGGAGAATGTCCGAAGATATCGGAAACAGAATCGCGAAATAGTTATTCGCGGAAAATACAAAATGATGGTTGTGTGGACTCCATTCCGCAGTGGTTGGTGCTGTTGCTGATGGTCTTATGCTCGGAAGATGTTTCTTGAATTTAGTAATCCTTTTTTTTCGATTTTTATAGAATTCAATATCTATGTGATATTAAAGAATTCTTTGTCGTTACATTCAAGATTAAACAAGAAACTCATATACAACATCATCAAAATTCTCACATAAATATAGCAATAATATTGTTGTCGTCGCAACGAAAACCCCGTGATCACGAATATTTCGAACTAACACCAATTCTCTTGCATCTCTGTAGATCATGCGTAACGAAACCTAAATTTAATTTAATTAGTACTGGCTGAAGCGTGTATGCATAGATCCCAGAAATTCCTACCTCGTAACATCAACATTACTGCGATCCCAGAAATTTTTACCTTGTAGTATCAACATTAATGCCGTTTACATAAAAAGCAAGGAGTAATTCACTAAAAACTTTTACCTAAGCTATTCTTCATGAAAATCCATCCGACCTTTTTTTTTTTACAATGTTCCATAATTAATTTGACGTATGATATTCTTACGAACAATAATAACGAATAATACCTTATAATTACTTATTTTATATGAACATTCTATTTGCTTTTTTTATCTAACATAAATAATTTCTTTTGGGACCCGTACTTTAGTGACCTATAATAACTAACTGTATTCTAGATAGCTGCAACGAAAGATAGTTGTGTAATAACGAAAATTGTATATATAGGATAGCTATCTAAAGGAGGCAAAATTGGTTTGAAGAAAAATTAAATAAATTTAATTTTGAAACTTATCTTTTGCTTCGGCTTTTGTTCCTTTTTTGCCAGAACGAAATCGATAGCTTTAATTCTAATTGTGCTTAACAAAAAAGAAGGCTTTACTGCTTTGGCCATACGAAGTTGATGCATTGCTTGGATTCCTTGGATATTGATTTTATTCTTTTAATGTTGATATTATTATTTTGATATTGATATTATAAATTTTATTGTTGTGCGCCTTTGAATTTCAATTTTTATTGAGTTGAATTATTAGTCATATAATTTATTATTAGAGTTAGTTATTCTTTAATTGTAATAATAAACTTTGCTTCTTTGAAATTAAAATATTAATTTAAACCTTACCTTTGCCTTTAACCGTTCAATCTCCGTGAAAGATTGGCACAGGAGACCTTTAGCACCCCAGTGAAACCCACTTCGAGTAAATCATTCAGTCGTTGCTCCCACCCCTTGTACAATATTCAAAATTCGTTAGTCAACCTAACTTTCGAATTGAGTGTGACAATACCTTGTGTCGGTATTGGTTATGTTAACAAAAAAGACCATATAAATCTATTTTTATTCCATGCGTATAATAAAGAAAATAGTTAAATATTATAATTTTCTCCTCATAAAATACTAATTTGCATTATCGTATTATAAATTAGAAACATTCAAATCCTGACTTAAATCTATCGCTGGTTCTATTTATGATTTATTATTTTCTATTTTTTTGTCCTTTCTAAAGAGGAGAGAAAGTTATCTGTTCCTACGCCTCCCATGGTTCGCGTATTCACACAAATTATGTTAAAACAAATACTTTAGTTACGCATCTGAACAATGGGTAATTGAAAATATGCTGCAAGATATGCTGAAATTATGCAATCGACTTTATTGGTATGTAATTATTGCCTATTTTGGAAATGATAATCATTTAACGATGATATTCTTCAAGAATTTTAACGAAAAATTAAGGAATTACGAAATTTAATGTTACATGTACTAACTTTATGAACGATAAAATTTTATTTTATGGTAAAATGTTTCACGATCATAAAATGAAAAATTGTCATATTGAACTTGAACATGTTGATTATTCTCTTTTACGTTATCTTTAGAGTTCTGAAATTGACTTAACATGACAAATATATGCTTGCATGGTAACTGATATACTCTAAAATCATGACAAGTACAAATATATGAAGCAGTATTTAAATTATCTTCTTCATTACTTTTTCTAACAGAATATTCAATATTAGCATTAGTCATAGAGCAGATGATTCAAGTATCAAAACTGATATTATAGATATTATTCTGATTAATTCATTTTATTCCTTCAATTTCTCAAATTCATTGCTGTTGTCATTGTGAATTCATTCTTCTGACATTAAAATCATCTAAAAAAACAGAGAAGTCCAAGTCCAGAATACTATTTCTACAAGAAGATATACTTTATTATCATTTAGATCTTTCTCTCATATATACATATTTTAATTTTCTATAAGATATCTCCATTAAATTATTATTGTTCATCATATCTCTAGCAATCTCCCTCAGATATGTCATCCATTTAGACTTCCATCATCTTTCAAAATAGTTAGCAAATTTATTTGAGATCTCAATATCTATTATTCTTCACTTGTTAATCAACTTTGTAATTTGTATTAGTGCTTTTGAGTCATTTCATCCTTCAATTTTCATTAACTTCAAAGATCTTTCCAAATAATTACTTTATAAGGATCTTTATTAGCATCATGATGATAATTTAGATTTTGATACCAGAAGTATAATATATGAAAATGGCATAATAATACATTAACATCAGGAAAATATTCTTTAGCTGTCTTAATCTTCTCATCTTCATTATTGATCATGAAGATATCCAGATTTCGTTCTCTAATTTTTTCTTTTAAAAAATCAAGCTAAGCTTTTAATATAACTGACTGCTTGAACTTATTAATTAAAAATGCAACTGGATATTTACTTTCTATTGCTGGACGTTATATATTGATTTAGTTCATGTATATTATCTAAGATATTACTCTTGCAAATTTTATTGCTTTTCTGTTTGAAAAGCAACCTATTTTCATTATCACTATTACTAAACAAGCAATATCCACCTGCATAATTTAGTTTCTCTTGTTATTTTATTAAGATCTTAATTCTTCATTATCAAGATAGACACATATTTTTATCATATTTATGTATAATAGTATAAATATCATCTTTTACTACTAGGCCATCTCATAGTGACTGAATATTTTGAGATTCCATTTCCTATTCCAAAAGTCACACACGATCTTGAAGTTCAATTTCCTGGTGCTGCAAAAGTTATTGAATACTATGAGGACCAAGTCTCTCTAAAGCGTGTTGCCTAATAAAATGGTGAATATCATCAGATAGAGGAAGTGTGTATAAATCTGATAGCTGGCCAGATTGATGATTATTATGCTTATAATAATGTTTTAGAATTACGATTGTTGAATCAACTGGAAGTGCTACTTTACTACTTTATTATAACTTTTGCACCCACATTTTTTAGAGGCTTTTTGTGCAAGTCGCGACTTTTTGCTAGAATTCTTCCCAGCAATATTATTGTATGTTCCATAATGGTGGCAGAGCCATTGTTCTGTTCACCTATATTTTTTTCTAGAGCTACCTTCTTTTGCTTTATGTTCATGTTAAATATAACTAAGCCCCGCCTTCTCAAGATTTTTTATCCATTCTTCATAGCTATCAACAGGTAAATGAAACATTTTGGATTTATCTGTATTATGTGAATTCTGCGAGTTTTCATCGTCAACTTGCATTCCCACATTTCCCCAACACCATCTGTTACATCCATAATCCTATCAAGAGTATCATCAAGCTCATTATCACTAATATCCATATCAGATTCCTCATCAATATCGAAAATCGCGTCGATATCAATTGGCAATTAATCTGTAAAGTTCGTTGTTATTAAGCATCACTTCATTTAATAATGATGACATGGGAAGAATTAAAGCGAAGTTCAATTTTTATTATGGTTATGATTTTCTTATAATAATTTAAAGGCATTTCAATCAAGCTCTAAACGAATGTTAGTATCCAAATGGATGTTAATTTTGTGGTGCGATCTATTATTGGTATAGATGTACATATATACATGTATTACGTATCATTTTTATTAGCGAACGTGCTATTTAAAGCACAAGGCAGGGTTAGCCAATAAAATAAAAGTCGGAAGCGAAAGTCAGAGATGAGTGCATAAAGGTCACGCCAACGATCTCATCCAATCAAGGTGAGATCTATCTGCGACCAATAAAAATAATAGTAAAAACTATAATACCCTAGCCACGGCAAAAAATAGTGTCGGAACATGTGATTTTTCAAGGGGTAAACCAATCAAATCGCAAGATAATAAATATAATTAAGATTAGGATTAGAATTGCATATTCCACGTGACATTATAACAGTATAACATTATAACGATAAAGCAAAATTTTGCGAGGAACAAGTGATTTCATAAATGTTTTTTTGAATTTTTTTCCCTTAAAAAATCACATGATCCTACACTTTTTTTTGCCGTGGCTGGGGGTATTACTTACCTTAGTTAGGTCTTTCAATAGAAAATACATACAAAGTAATTTTGTCTAAATTTAGAATTTACATTGTAGTTCAAACAAACAAAAAGCCTAACGTTAAAACCGGAACATTCGTATAGACTGCATCAAAGCTTCCAGAAATAATAATAGCAGCCTGCCTCACTAAACCTTTGATAGCTAAGATTTTTAGAATTATGGTTTTTCCATGTTGTCGTAATGAAGTAATCTTTGGGTCTAAACATATTTTGGTAATAGTAATATATCAAATATTTAAAAGCTTAGCTATTAAATTAATGTATAAGATTCAAGCGCCTAAAAAGTTTCATTATATACGATTGATTACTGCCTTATCTCTTATTATGTTATGGAGCTTATACGTTGCCTTTTTGTTAAACCAAATTATAACCGATAAACCAGTGATTCAAGTATCTTATGTATATGAAGAAAGAGTAGAAGCGCCAGGTGAGTTGAAAGCAAATAATGTCTTTTCTATGTTAATTATTTTTATATTGAATTTATAATTTCACACAGATATTGAATTATGCGCGCCCACGAAGCTAAAAACATATTGCAATCTATACCCTGATGATGATATTGAAGACTTTGTCGTCGATTGCAAAGAACATAATAAGTTTACATTAGAAGAAAAAGAAAATGAAAACCTTTCCTGTTATCTTATATCAGGCAATCATAATATTTGGTTTGGAAATTTAACCAATACGGTTTCTAAAATTGTAATAGCTTACGACTTTTTAAATGTGATCCCTAATGAAAATAAAACGAATATAGATATTCCAGTAGTCGGTAAATTTCTTGCGTTGTTTTTAAGGTTTTTCTCATTATGTTTTTCTTAAAAATTTATATTTTCAGAATTACGATTTATTGACCCAAATTACAATCCACTCTGGTCAAAGGCCGAAATACGTACTAAATATGTGGGTATTATTATGGATAACGTGTGCGCGCGTGTGTATGTGTGTCGTAAGTGGGAACGGAATCCATGTGGATGTGGAATCGGCCCAAATTAACATAGAGACTGATTAGAGTAAAAGTAGGCGTGCTGGGATAAGTGGATAAAAAATTTCAATTAGCTAAAACGAAAATTATATTTGATGAAAACAGGACATATCGGTTGAGAATGATATAAGAATTGGTGGAAATACTCTTATCGCACTTGCAAATAATACAGCACGATTTACATTTAGAAAACAGACATACGAATCGATTCCAGAAGGTGATAGTAAAAGTTATATTGGCTTAATGGCAAACTACGATGAACACGTATCGTATAAGTTTGATAAAGATAATATACCATTTTCTTATTATGAAACAACAATCACGGGTATAATTACCATCGAAGTTCAGACTTTCGTGAATGAGATCCAAACCGAAACTAGGTTCACTTTTATTATTTATCAAATTCATTTATATTTAACTATAAAAAATATTGAAGTCATTAACTTATACATGTAGAACGCGTACGATCTTTAATTCTTTTGGACTGGCAGTGGGCACAATTGGTAAGAACCATTTTTATCTTTATATTTTAAATATTAAATTATGCTAATGATATTTATACTATAAAAAATATAGGATTTATTACCGGAATTTATTATTACCTCTTTGGTGATAAGAAAATCAGACCATGGGGCTTGATACATCGAAAATTTATTTCACAATTAAAATACAAAGATGTAGAGTCTAATTTGCCTTTAAAAACGAATCTTTCAACGGATGAACAAATCGCTATTCTTGCAACGCGCACTAGAGATTTAGAAAGATTGGTTGAAAATGTTGTAAACACGCGGACATTAAACGAGTTAAAAATCACCCCATCAACGGAAGATAGTTTGTCAACTTAAAAATTATTCTTAAAATATTTTCTTAAATCTAGCTCATTTACACTTCATATTTGAATATTAGTATATTAGTCAATTCGTGTGGTCTTAATTATTGTTTTGGCTCGTTTGACGAGAATAGAATGATTTAGACTGATACGATAAATCATCTTTTCAGTGTACCAACAATAATTCTATAAATCTGTCCACTTTAGAACTTTCTTGCCTAATAAATAGATGTGCTGCTCTTAAAGATCAATGCGTTTTGATTTTAATTTCACCACATTAAAAATAAAAACATACCATATTTTTATAAGCATGCATGTGACACATTTTTGGAAGAATTCATCGCATAACTAAATACATGTCTTTTTGCATGAAAATACAATGTAGTCCTTTCGTAAACATGCAGTCTATAATAGAAAAACTAAAAATAAAAATAGGACACATATATGTATTTAAAATTAAAAAACCACACAGTCGATTTTTATATATTATTTTTTACTTTTTTAAGGTTCCAAGACTGCTGCTTTTTCAAAGTTCAAATTCTAGCGTCTAGCGTAGAAAATTTCAGCACAATATTAGTTCCGTGCTAATAGCAAATACTCAAAAGACAATTTAATTGTAATAAAATAGTTAATAATTATCTTTGCAATAATAGGAATAATAGTTCACTTTGCAATAAGAGGAGGTACATGTACAGTGGCCTATCAAAAGTCACCGGACATCATGTGATCCCCAGTCGTTTTGCAAATAACACTGTTTGTTTG